GTTCTGTAAGAAGAGCTGGCTTCTCTTATCTTTGAAGGACGCATGATACCAAGGCTTTTTAAATGTTAAGTCACCTCTCACTTTGAAAGGAGCTGTGGCCTTCATTCAAGATCCTCTCGACAGACCATTATTAAGGTGCTTCAGCAGTTAAACATAACTGTATCCGCGTAATTGGTTAAAAGTCAGGAGCTAATTGGCAAAAGACCTTTCAATAGCTGACAGGCTTTTGCAGGATTGTGTTCCCGCCTTCCCAGGGTGGCTATTTGATGGCTATCCTCAGAATGAAACCCTTATAACCTGCAACCAATAATTACAAAGCACGGGATTGCAACCTTGGCTTGTTGTCAAATGTTTGTAGGCTATAATTAGTTCAAGTAGCTGAAATCATTTATGTACCATAGTAGGTTGGAACAATCCAACTTTTCCTTGTGATAACTTTGGATAACAGACCTGAAACAGACAAGGTGCTTCACATGAAACTCTGAAAGCAAATTTTAAATACTTGCTTAGCATGCATTTGTAGTCTCAAGGGTAACTTATTGGACACTTGCTAAGGACCATATCCTAGTAGCAATGACCCTCGGGTACCCTGGCCTATTTCATCTTCCTAATGCTATGTCCTCCAAGAAATGAAAAGGGCAAGGAAAACTTAACAGTAGCCTCTCCTTAGCTTGTTCTTTCTTTGTTAGTAGTTTTATGGATTGGTTTAGAACAGTGTTTCTCAACCTGGAGGTCGGGACCCCTGAGGGGGTCGCGAGGGGGTGTCAGAGGGGTCGCTAAAGACCATAAGAAAACACAGTATTTTCTGATGGTCATGGGGATTCCATGTGGGAAGTTTGAGCCAATTCGATTGTTGGCGGAGTTCAGAATGTTCTTTGATTGTAATGAACTGTAAATCCCAGCAACTACAACTCCCAAATGTCAAGATCTATTTTCCCCGGAATCCACCAGTGTTCACATTTGGGCATATTGAGTATTCATGCCAAGTTTGGTCCAGATCCACCATTGCATGAGTCCACAGTGCTCTCTGAATATAGGTGAACTACAACTCCCAAACTCAAGGTCAATGCCCATCAAATCCTTCCAATGTTTTCTATTGGTCATGGAAGCCAAGTTTGGTTCAAATCCATCGCTGGTGGAGTTCGGAGTGCTCTTTGATTATAAGTGAACTATAAATCCTAGCAACTACAACTTCCAAATTACAAAATCAATCCTCGCCCAACCCCACTAGCATTCACATTTGGGTGTATTGGGTATTTGTGCCCAGTTTGGTCCAGTGAATGAAAATGCATCCTGCATATCAGATATTTACATTATGATTTATAACAGTAGTAAAATGACTGTTATGAAGTAGCAATGAAAACAATATTATGGTTGGGGGTCACCACAACATGGGGGACTGTATTAAGGGGTCACGCCATTAGGAAGGTTTAGGAATGGTTCTCAACCTTCCTAATGCCGCAAGCCCTTAGTACAGTACCTCATGTTGTGGTGACCCCCAACCAAAAACTTATTTTTGTTGCTACTTCATAACTGTAGTTTTGCTACTATTAATCATAATGTAAATATCTGATATGCAGGATGTATTTTCATTCACTCGACCAAATTTGGCACAAATACCCGATACACACAAATTTGAATACTGGTGGGGTTGGGGGACGATTGATTTTGTCATTTGGGAGTTGTAGTTGCTGGAATTTATAGTTCACCTACAATCAAAGAGTATTCTGAACTCCACCAACTATGGAATTGAACCAAACTTGGCACACAGAACTCCCATGACCAAGAGAAAATACTGGAAGGGTTTGGTGGGCATTGACCTTGAGTTTTGAAGCTGCAGTTCACCTACATCCAGAGAGCACTGTGGACTCAAACAATGATGGATCTGGGCCAAATTTGGCACTAATACTCAATATGCCCAAATGTGATCACTGGTGGAGTTTGGGGAAAATAGACCTTGACATTTGGGAGTTGTAGTTGCTGGGATTTATAGTTCACCTACAATCAAAGAGCATTCTGAATCCCAGCAACGATAGAATTGGGCCAAACTTCTCATACAGAACCCTCATGACCAAATACTATGTCTTCTGATGGTCTTTGGTGACCCTCAGAGGTCCCAGCCCCAAGGTTGAGAAACACTGGATTCGAATATTAGAGTTAGAAGGGGCTGCAAGGCGCCAGTTATTCCTAATCCCTAAGACTTAAGGATACACATCTAGAAAATCCCTGAAATATGCATCTCTTTTAAAGACTTTCAAAGAAGGAAAAGCCACAAGAAAGGGAATCAAAATAGAAAAAGAACAGCTTTATTCATGTACTATTGCACAACGAAATTAAATGCTTTCCCTAGCACATATCACAAAACAACACACCAAATTCCAATCACTACCGCACAGCCCCCAATGCCACATCAATGTGAATGAAGGGGACTACTCCACTGTCAAATAATTCTTATAGTAAATAAGATCTTCCTAATGTTTTGTGGAATCTCTGTTCTAGTCATGTGAATCTATTGGTTTGCATTCCAGTTGACGGAGTGGCAGAAAGCAAATTTGCTCTATTTTCTCCATGACATCTCTTTAGGTATTTGAAGATGACGGTCACATCACCCTTCAATCATATCTTGTCCAAGCTAAACATATGTAATTCTGTAAGTCACTTCTTTCCTCATCAATTAAGGATCCTTCCACACAGCTGAATAAAATCCCACATTATCTGCTTTGAACTGGAGTATATGGCAGTGTGAAGTCAGGGCCCTTCCACACAGCCCTATATCCCAGAATATCAAGGCAGAAAACCCCACAATATCTGCTTTGAACTGGGTTATGCGATGACCCGTCCAGACAGTACCTTTACCATAAAGGGGGGGCTGTCCAGACAACATTCTGGACAGTCCCAAATTAATTAGTTACAAACCCTGGAAAACCTTGGTTTGTAGTGAATTAATTAGATAGTGGATTTATTCCGTGCCTTCTTGGAAGGCGCGAGATAAACCCACTATTTTTGGTTCTGGACTGTAGAATACTGCAGTTCAGACAGTATTCCCACAGTTTACCGGGCTAAATGAGCCCAGTAAACTGTGGGAATACCGACCCCCGAAGCCCCCAGACCCCTTAGAAAAGTAATAAAAACTTACCTGGCCTCCATTACAAGCCTTGGCAAGGTCTCCTGTCAAGTAGAAATGATGCACCAGGAGAGCAGGGGTGGGGGTGGGGGGTGGAGGAGGGAGGATAATTGCTTTCCCCCCACTCTCTTGGCATGTCATTTCTATGCACTAGGAGAGCTGGCTGAAGCTTGTAATGGAGGCTGTGTAAGTTTTTATTACTTTTCTAAAGGGTCTGGGGGCTTGGGGGGAGGGGGAAGGGCCTCCAGCCATTCTCTCAGGCCCTTCAGAACTGACACAGTGAACACTCTTAGTGTAAGATATATCACTACACCACTATATACTTTTTGAATGTGGAAATCATATTTTGCAATCTGATCAGCCTATTTCACCTAATTTTTTTTGAAGGTAAAGAAGTCTTTTGTGGCTTTACAAGGTTTTTGTGGCTTTACAAGGTTTATGAAAGCAGATTAATGATGTGTGTATGATTATTCAGAACTCCAAAAATAACAGGCCCGGGGTCAACAGGGTGGTTATGGAAGCTATGTGTTAGGAATTTAACATAAATTTTAAGTCTCATGAATATTGCATGCCAGTGGCACGAAAAACCAGCCAAGAAAAATAATGAATTAGGTGTTATTTTCCTCCCTCTGTTGACTTTACTTTAGCTTGCAATGTAGTATCCTTGGCTAATGTAACAAATTGCTAATGCTGTGGTAATGAAGTGTTGCGTAATTTGGCAATGTCCTCCCTTGGGCACTTTTTTCACAGTCTGCATCCCTCATGTTATCAGGCTTGAAGAAGTAGCTTTTCCCCCTCTGTGGAAATATTCTCATCAAGGTTGAATTCATTCATTCAGTCATTCATTCACAAATATAATGCCACCTCCACAGCACATGATGCACATAGGACCTTCTCGCACATCTCTCATCTGGAGTTTGCAGAGTAAAATAGAAAACAGGACAATAAAGTAGAGTTTCCTTTGGGAATGGGAAGCTTTAGAGTCTAAAGAATGTTTCCCAACACACCTGAGAAGGATATCTCTGGCTTGGTATAAATGGGATTTTGTCATCCTTTGGGAAGGGACATGGTTGTTTAAGTTTTTGGGACCCCTCTTTATTAGGACTGTTTTGTTGTCAAATGAATGAGTCTTGATTACCAATTCCACACCAAAATGTTTCACATAACAATGGAGAAAAAAACACAAAAACTATAGCCAGAAACTTGCTTGTGTCTTATATTTACAAATGTTCCCCTACATAAGTTGTTGGGTATTTTTGTCCACATTCAGTCAAAGGCTGTGAACACAAAGTTGCCCAGGCCATTCCATCACTGCAAAGAAGTAATTGAAAACAGCAGTTTTCAAAGATGATTCACTCAGAAAAGAATGTATTTTCCTGCAGAGAAAACATATGGGAGCATGCATAAAAAACATACTTTTCAGTGCAGACAACTTGTCCGTTTTTCACCCAGAATAAGATCCAAATGGCAAAGATTCTTGAACACATGCAGTTCTCTTGTCAGGGTTTAACAATACTTCAGGAGCCATTTTTTGGATATGTTTTAAATCGGAGTTGGCTCTCCATATCCACAGATTTTGCATCCATGGATTCTACTATCTATGGCTTGATTTTTTTTAATTCCCAAAACCAAACCTTGCTTTTGCTGTGGTATATAAGGGGTATCATTTTACTGTGCCATTGTATATAATGGAACTTGTGCACATGCATGGGTTTTTCTATCAATGGGGAGTCCTGCAACCAAACTTCAGTGCATACCAAGGATACATAGTACAACCACATCCAAAATCTTCCCATCCCTAGTTGACATAGGATCAAGATTAATGTTTTTTCCCCCTCTATACAGTTAATGCAGTGGAAGGAGTTGGTCAGCTTACCCAATATAGCTACCACTTCGTCATCCTGAATAACTTCCAAGGATCCTGAGACAACAAAGCAGAGGGCATCAACGCTTTCCCCCGCATGGTAGATGAGGTCTCCAGGAGCGCAGTGGATGGTCTGGAACTCAACGGCAAGGGCTCTCAGGCAGCCATCACTCGCTAGTCGAAAAGCTGGGTGTTCGTTAAAGACTTTCCGGTTGAGATGCACACAGATATCTGCTCTCATGTCCTTGGGACAAATTGAAAGGACCTGGAGAAAGAGGAAAAACATCATTGTGAGGGCAATATGAAGGGGTCAGTATTTGAATGTCAAGATAGGAGTAGGAGTGCATGTCCGCTATACAGTTTAATGCAGTTTGACACTATTTTAACTACCCTGGCTGAATGCTATGGAATTATGAGAGCTATAGTTTTATAAGGTCTTTAGCCTTCTCTGCAAAGAGTGCTGGTCCTCACCAAACTACAGCTTCTAGGATTCCATAGCACTGACACATGGCAGTTAAAGTGGTGTCAAACTGGATTAAACTGTATAGTGGCCCAACTTACCTGTCCGAACGCATCTCCTCCTATGAACCAGCTAGGACATTAAGATCATCTGAAGGCCCTGCTCTTGGTCCCGCCTGCAACACAAGCACGTCTGGTGGGGATGAGAGACAGGGTCCCCTCAGGGGTGGCCTCTTGGCTGTGGAATGCCCTTCCTACAGATATTAGATCGGCCCCCTCCCTACTGGCATTTCAGAGGAAAGTGATGCTCGGAGGTTGTTCGAGCAGGCATTTGAATAGGCAGTGTAATGAATATAGGAATACGGAACATCGGATGATGAGATTGAATCTTGATTCTACTTATGAGGTGCTAATGAGATGTTATATTGATGTTTAATTGTTTATTATGTTACTGTTTTAATAGTTTTAACTGTTTTTATGATGTCAAGCATTGAATTTTGCTATTGTTAACCACTTTGAATCGCCTAAGGGCTGAGAAAAGCAGTATATAAATGAAATAAATAAATAAATTCTACAATGTAGACACAGTTTTAGATCACTGGGATGGAGAAAGTGCATTTAAGACACTGAGGCCCATTTCCCTCAATGTCTCAAATGTACCTCCCCATTTTTCTTAATGGCACATTTTCCAAGCAATTTGTGCCCAAAACTTGATAGAAAAGTAAGACTAAAAATGTGTGACAGACCCCACCAGCTCTCTAGGCAGTTGGCTCCATTGGTGAACTGCTCTCTCACTGTCAAGAAGTTCCTTCTAATATTCAGTATTCAATACCCTCTTATAACTTTAAACCATTAGACCTTGTCCTACCCTCCTCTTTGTGCCAATCCCTGAGGTATTTAAAGTGAACCATTCTTTCACTCCTCAGCCTTTGTCCTCCTTCTTATCATCTTCATTATTCTACTCTGAGCCTGATTCAACCTATCTATATTCTTCTTAAAACTGAGTGTCTAAAATAAGGAGGTGTCCAGAATAGAATTCAGTGCTTCAGATGAGGCCTGACCAGCCCAGGATACAGTGGGATTATTCTTTCCCACTGAAAAAATAAGTTTCTATTAATACAAGCAAAAATAGCATTTGCCTTCTTTGATGCAGGATCACACTGCTGGCTCACATTCAACGTATAATCAACAACAGTCCCAATGTCCTTTTCACATATAGGATTGTTGAGTCAAAAATCACCCAGTTGTCACTGTTGAATTACATTTTACTAATTTCAGCCCAGTTTTCTATTTTATATAGGTTCTTTTGCATTCTCTTCCTTTCCTCCAATTTGTCAGCCACCCCTTCCAATTTTGCATCATATGCAAACTTAATAACTATTCCACCCACTCTGTCTCAAAAAAAATATTGATGAGTGTCAGCCCCAGGACAAAACCTTGAGGCACTCCTTCCAATCTGAAACACAGCTACTGATGACAACTCTTTGAGTTTTCCAACTAATTATAGATCCATCATCTGATGATGTTTCCATCTATTCCATATTCCACATTGAACAGGAAATTTAATCAAATGTACAGAACTCCTGTACAGAAACATGTCAACAACTGAGCAACAAAAGATTATGATGTACGATCACACTCCTCAATGAGAAGTAATCATTATTTCCCAACTATGTACATCATACTTGACCTTTCTACTTCATTCTGGTGTTCTAGGTGATATAACAGAATATGCCAAGATGTCTTGAAATATGTCTCAGAAGGTTTTAACTTAAAATCATGAGGAGAATGTAGTTCCTACAAGCAAACCGCTATTGACATTCAACATGGCTCTATCTCATGTAGGCCTCATGGTCACTTTAAAGAAACAGGAATTTGGTAGGCACAGAAGACCAATGAAAAGACAAAGGTCACTTCTGTACCTTAACATGCTGCTCTGGTTGTTACACTTACTTTCATCTGATGCACTTTAGATACCCCTTCAAATGCCATGAGTCCATTCTACACAATGAAGGGATTTATAGTTTGGTAAGCTATTCAGGGAGAGCTAGGACTTCATCCCACAGGAAAAGTAAAGCATTTGGGAGAGTTGGTTTTCCCTTAAACTTCACCATACCCTGTTTTGAAATTAAATGGAAGATTTTCCTACCCCCATCACACTTAATCCTTCTCTCTGCTTTCATTAAAATTTATCTGTTTTATTTGCCATCACACAGTAAAGACTTGTTTCCTCCACCGTCCCTACCCTGTTTTCTTTTTTAAATAACTTCTCTCTTTGTAATGTGGGGAGTTCAACTCACAACATATATAAAGATTTATTCTTATTTTGCAGAATTCAGAACAGGAGGGACAGGGGAAACTAAGTTTTGGCTCTCTTATATGTTTCTCTCTGCTAGCCTTTTGATAGGCAAAACAAAATCCTGACAAGACAGCAGGAGTTTCAGAGAGACAGGTGAGAAAACGGTAGGTAAGAGTTCAAAAGGACTTTTATGACCTAGAAGGGAAATAATACAGGAAGAGGGGGAATGTTGAAAGAGGAAACTTGCTATGGTTACAGATACACTAGAAAAAGCACAGGATTTGCATGCTTGCTCTTTTCTTCTGAATGTTTTGAATATCTTTGAATGTTTGCTATACCTCTTTAGTCCCAAAATGGTAATGGCGAAAGAAAGGAATCAATACTGGCCATCTCGGCTTCTCCCTCCATAGTGACGTCATTGTTATGTTTACAAATGGGCAAGGGGAAATTCCCATCACATGTTAAATTGGGTGTTTTACAATTTCTAAGCAGGGAATTGAGGAATAAGTTGTTTGTCAACTGGCTTAGGAATCCGCAGGAAACCTCTACCTCACATTTGAAACTTGCGTTGTGTGAAGTATACAGTTGGTGTCTTAAGTGTGTAGAAACGCTGATTTTATTGCATGTAATGAAGTCATTAGTGTGGTATAACGGTTTGTGTGTTGGGGGTTCAATTCCCTGCTCAACTATGGAAACCCACTGGAAGCCCATTCCTCTTAAAAGTTCACATTAGGGTTGACATGACTTGGAAATGACTTGAAAGTACACAGTAGCAACAACAAAGTACTTAGAACCTTTTGTTAGAAAGCATTAGTATTGTGGGTTGTATCCACCAAGCTACAACTCATAGGATTCCACAGCATGGAACCATGAGAGCTGATGTATAATCCAACTATTATAACTTTGTAGCATCAAAACAGTGACTATCCTGCCCATATAGAATATTTTGAAACCCAAATCATCTCTTTCTATACCCAATTCTTTCTATAGACAAACACCTCTCCATTTATCCATTTCTGAGCTTCTTTTTGGATCCTCGCAGCAAGTCCTGCTGAGTTCATTCTGACTTGCTTCCAGGTAAGTGCATGAAGGATTACATTATAAAATAGCCCGAACAGCTACTGCCATCCTTTTCATGTTGACATAAAAAAAAAACTGTCAGAGAGCAGAAGAAAGAAAGAGAGAGAGAGAGAGAAGAAGCATTCCGAGGTGCTCCGGTATCTAAGTAATGAAATCACTTCACATGGCGTTCCTTTGTGGAAACACAATAGTGGCGCTTTCATCGTGTTCTCCTGCAGTTTCAGAAGGCAAGTCCTCTGCTGCGTAGGACAAAAAGCCAACTCCATCCATCAGGAAGAAGTCAGTAATTAGTTGAAGTTATGAGCCGAACAGTTCTGTGCACACAGCCAGCCTCAAGCTTTCACTGGCTGAATATAAACAGAGGGAGCCGGCCCTCTGAAATAAAAGAGGAACAAAGTCCTTCACTATGAAATCCATGTTTTGCATTATTCCCCATTTCGAAAATTAATTTCACTTCACAAAGTTGGGTGGGTGGGGGTGGGAGTTAAAAAAATGTAGCGTGTGTTTATTTTTTTAAAGGCAAAGTATCCAAAGCTGAGGTTCCCCCCTTGGATATCCAGCATGGTGTTGTGAAGTAATAAGAGTAAAGTTCTTCTTTCTGGACCATTAGCTGCAGTTAATAGAAATTACTGGTGTGTTTTGCTTATTTTCAAGCATGGGCTCATTCTGTAATGAGGCTACATCATTTCGTGGTATCTTTTTTCTGCATTTTGGAAAATGCCTTTTAGCATCTGCTTGAAATTAATATTGGGTTGACATTCTGCATTGGAGTTGCATATGCAGAATGTCTAACGATCTTGACAGATTAGAGAGATGGGCCAAAACTAACAAAATGAAGTTCAACAGTGACAAATGCAAGATACTCCACCTTGGCAGGAAAAACAAAATGCAAAGATACAGAATGGGGGACAATACCTGGCTTGAGAGCAGTATGAGTTAAAAAGGTCTTGGAGTCCTCGTGGACAACAAGTTAAACGTGAGCCAACAATGTGATGTGGCGGCAAAAAAGCCAATGGGATTTTGGCCTGTATCAATAGGAGCATAGTGTCTAGGTCTAGGGAAGTAATGCTACCCCTCTATTCTGCTTTGGTTAGACCACACCTGGAATATTGTGTCACTTCTGGGCACCACAATTCAAGAGAGATATTGACAAGCTGGAATGTGTCCAGAGGAGAGCGACTAAAATGATAAAGGGTCTGGAGAACAAGCCCTATGAGGAGCGGCTTAAGGAGCTGGGCATGTTTAGCCTGAAGAAGAGAAGGCTGAGAGGGGATACGATAGCTATGTATAAATATGTGAGAGGAAGCCACAGGAGGAGGGAGCAAGCTTGTTTTCTGCTTCCCTGGAGACTAGGACGCGGAACAATGGCTTCAAACTACAAGAGAGGAGATTCCATCTGAACATGAGGAAGAACTTCCTGACTGTGA